CCGATGAGCCATGGCTCTATCCCATGTCTTGCCCCGACTGTGTAGCTCCTGCCCCACTCCCTGCCTCACCGCGGGGGGCCTGGATCTACCTCCCACCCCCCTTCCCCTTCCCCTCAACAGGCTTACCAGTTGGATGCTGTTCTCCATGCTGCTGGGCTGCATATCAGCAATTGGATCGGGATCAGCCGATACAGCTTGTTAAAAATCAGCCATTGGTATCAGCCCCAAAAATCTCCATTGGTGCACCCCTATTTTTTTAGTAGTTTGAAGAAACTTAAAAATTGTGTTAGTCTGGTGTTTCTAGCATAATTTCTGTCACTTGGAGTAAAAAGGACCCATACTCATCAAAGGGTAAATGAGGTTTCTTTTAGGTTTTTGGTATCTGTGTATTAATGTTTAACCTTTCTGGGTGAATTGAATTCAGTTTAGTACATTTCAGGCTTTTTTCTGAGATACAGAAAGTTGGATGTGAGTTTAGATAAAAAAGCTACATAGGGACAAAACATCTCTTGCTACAGGAATCCTGTTGAATTAAAATGTGATCTCAGGAGAGATTTTTATGTGAGCTTCTTAGATGAATTAGTGCTTCTTTAGAGCCTCCCAGATTTCTGCATTTGAGCTTTGATTAATAAAATGAAAGGCAGGAAGCTGGCTGGTATTTTTTTTTAAACAAAGGCGCTTTTGCTTTGCTTAGACTGCCTTAATAATACGTATTATTTCTCTTGCTTGTAAAGAGAGAGCACTGAAGCACAAATAACCATGGCAAAGATACTGCTTGTAACTTTGACTCCAGCTGACAGAATGGCTCAAACCTTTCCTCAGAGCTGCTGTCTTATTTTATTGTTTTAAAAAATGATTAGAAGGTTGAAAGAAATTCTGTCATTGAAGGGGAGGTGTTTCCCATCTAACCTACTTCCTCTCTTACCTTTAGTAGGTAGGTTTCTTTTGTCCCTTGAAATGATGAAAGTCTTATTTTCAGTAAGTGTAATGTTTCTCTATTTAGATGTCAGTCACTGACTTGAGCCTCTCTTATTTGCTTGCCCTGAACTCCCACTGAAGTGGGTGGATATTTCAATTCAAGTTTAACCCCTGTATATTTTAATGTAGCATGAAAAACAGATTTGTGCCTGGTCCAGTAGCTGGAGCCACATGGATATATCCTTATGTCCAGACAGAGAGCCCTTGATTACAGACTGGGACATTGGCCTAAGAGAATGTTAAAACTGCTTTTCTGATCAAAGCTGTTCACCAAGCTCCTGTTTGAGAAATAGAAACTGAATCTGGCTTTTGTTACATTCCTTGACAGTGCATATAATGTAACACTCTATAGAATGAAATTGAATTGTTTACTTTTAAAAACTAATAAGGCGTCTGGCAAATTTTTATGCTGCTCACTTTCTTGTGTGAATTATTTTCCTGTTTGACTTAGAACTGCCAGTATCAACCTGTTCACCCAATTCTTCTTTGTTTTCAATAACCCTCCATGGCAAAGTGTTACACCTGGGCTTATAAAGGGAGATGCACTTACAAGCATATTTTTAACTTTGGGCAAAAGAGAGGTTCTTGTGCTATGAAAACATCAAGCTGTATCAGGAAGAAGTTGTTCCACTTGATTTGGAGACTTTCGTTCCCGATTGAGGGGAACTGTTACTGTCGTGCTACTCCTATAATGAGGGCATGAAGCTGGTATGTTTTTTGCAATGAACTGTAGTCTTTTGTCAAATTCTTCGGCAAGAAGCATTCCCCATATAAGCTGTTTTGCTGTTTGTGTTCACAATCGACTGAATGTCTTTGTAGTGCCTTCCAGATCTATTGTTTTCCCCATTCCTTAACAGTATTTAGGAAACCCTGGTATTTGTGATAAAATTATTCCTTCCTCTGGGAATGCATACACTGACATACAATTTTAGCTGTGGCATTGTTTCTAGAATTGAGGTGGCACTTGGAGACCTGTGCTTAGACAGGACTGATTGTTCTATATAGTTGCACTATGAGAAGCAATCTTTGCTCCAGAGTTTCCAGCCTAATGCTCTTAAATCTATAGTTTTATTTGCCTCAGCTTGCTGTAATAAATATTGTTACCATGTAGGTACAGCAGACAGAAGAGGAAGAGAAACCATTGACTTCATCCAATCCAGTATTGGAGCTAGAGCTGGCGGAAGAAAAGTTACCCATGACTCTTTCCAGACAAGAGGTAAAATCAGATATCGCCAACTAACCAGTCTGGGTTTACAAGAAACTGATCTGAATTTTTCCATTAGAGATACTTTCTAGTGCTCCAGAGCCTTTTTTGCCAGGTTGTCTCTATCATCCTGCAAAGTGTTTATTTGCAGTATTTATGTTTACCATATAGGTTGTGTTTGTCACCTGAGAGACATCGTTAGCCTTGTTAGTCTGAAGTCAAGTAGAAAGCAGGGTAGGTTTGCACCTTTTATATATCTCTATTTTGGTTAGTTTATAGCACAAGCTTTTATGAGCTGAAACTCCATCAGATGCTGTGGAGGGATGCGATACTCTGCTTTCTCCCTGGCCTTTCTCAGCATCTGATGAAGTGAATTTTGGCTTACAAAAGCTTGTGCTATATACTTATAATCTATCTACTTTGGCTAGTCTGCAAGGTGAAAACCTACCCTGCCTTCTTTATGTCACTTGCCAAGATTGTCGATTTCTGATTTTGCAAAATGAGAGTGCTAAACAACTAATTGTCTGGGGCCATTCAGATGGAAAGAACCCCTTTTTCTAATGGTTTACATTAAATTGCTGAATGCATTCACTTCTAGAATTTGATTACCCTTTGAGATTAATCTAAAACAGTGAATCTTGGATAATGGGATAGGGAGCTGCATTCTCTTCCCTCTCCTCCCCCCCAAATTCTGAATTTTCAGCTTGTTTGCCTGTGACCCTGGGCCAGGGCCAATTTTAAAATTCTTCTTAGATTCTTGGAAGGGACATAAAGCTGCAGTTACTGCTTTGCTTTCTCAACGTTTTAAGGGGACAAGTCCTTATGAGAGCATTTTAGTTAGTGAAACAAAAGCTTTTTCCTGAAGCTGAAATCAGGATGCTGAGAATGAAGGTTAAGTTTACTAACATCTCCAACGTGGAAGTATGAAAATTCACGATTAGGACACCCTCAGCAGACTGGCAGAGCTAACAAGCAGAGCCCAGAGCCCTTATGCTTTGCAGTACTCCATTAAAAAAAAAAAAAGAAAGATGAACTACTAGCTTTTGGTTTCAAAGCTGCATACCACATCTCCAGCATAGGCTGGGATGCCTTGTTCTTGTGCCTCATAGGTCTACTTGTAGAAGTGCCATAACTTCCCCTTGGAGGTTTTTAAGTGTCAGCAGCATGGATGTGCTATATTCATTTTTGATTCTGCAATGACTGGAAGTTAAGGGTTCACCCAAGTGTGGGACACACAGAGAACCATGTAGCTATATGGAAAACTCTAACTCTTCTGCTGCTTCTTGTTTAGTTAGTCCATTGCACTGAAATGGTGGCAGTGTCCAATCTGGAGATCTGATTCTGTTCTTAGCTCTCACCAGGATTGGTATATTGTCTAATTTTTTTGCCCCAGTTTTGCCTGTTTTTGCAATAAATGAATGCTGTATTTGTATACTGAGACTTAATATTTGCAAGGGCCCTAAGGTCCTTAGAAGAGGAGCTTTTGTAAGTCTGTCTTCCAGCCAGGTCATGCCTGCTTTTAACCTAGACACCCAATTTACTCAGCCTATACTTACATTCATGCACAAATGTTTTTCTTGCCTCAGACAGTGGGTAAGTATCTTGACACTTAGAAAATGTCATCCATTTCCATCCATTAGGATCTTGCAACAATCCAAAGTAATTTAGAATTTCAAGTTTTATTCAGAGTGCAATCCCCCTGACTTTTGGGTCACTTTGGTGCTTTGAAAAGGCTGCCATCATGTGAAAATGTTGCAGGAACATACGACTGGAAATGGTTTCCCTGGCTGTCGGGTTGAGTCCCTTGTGTCTTCTGGCAACCATTTCACCAAAGATGCCTAAAAATCACCACTTCAAACCCTCACATTCAAGTAGAAAGCACAAAACTAGAAATAGGAACATCTTGCACACCATAGGCAGGGGATAGTTAGTGGAGGTCAAATATCAAGAGCTAACAAAACCAGTTGAATCATCCCTGAGAGTCAAAAAAAGATCATTCTGAAAATAGATACCTACTTTTTTGAAGCAGGGGAGATGCATGCTGTTTCAAAAACAAGTTGGTAAGAGGAAGTTAAGCCACAGCAGGGATGCCTGAGATTTTAAAGAAAATTTGGATTGGAATTATTTCAATTGAAATGACCCTTAACTGAAATACTGTGGGAATGTCCTATTTAGATCAGAAAGTGTCTGGAACATTTTGCTGATGCTATTTCGACTCTACCACTGCCGCGCCATTTGCTTATTATAGACTATGTAAATAAACTGTCCTGCATTTTATTTTGCCTCCTACTAGTTTGCATTAGAGAACACTTTGACTCCTTGCAGGTGATTAGAAGATTGAGAGAGAGAGGTGAACCTATCAGATTGTTTGGAGAAACAGATTATGATGCGTTCCAGCGTTTGAGGAAGATAGAAATTCTTGCGCCTGAAGTTAACAAGGTAACACTGGCAAATGAATGTTTAACAGTGAGACCGTATGTATGTAATTAGTTTTGTCCTAGTGTTTACTATATCTGTGGATTGTCATTTAAAAAAGGTATAAAACAATGGAAAATACCTTTCATTCTCCATATGTAGATTTTCCAAGTGTGCCTTTTACTCTTCCTGGAGCTGTCCAACTTTTTAATGGCTGTGGGTCATTTTCCCCCTGTTTTTCAACCAAAAATGACTCCTAACCTGGCATTTTTTTATGACAAACCTGTTAACTGGATATTAGATATCATCATCTAAGTAAGAAGACATGATTCTGTTTATCTCCCCACCCCCTATGTTTGCACTCTACAACAAAACAAGAAAGCTGGATTTTATTCCTTTCTATTTATTATAAACAATATTATTGGAAAATCGTTTCAAGCCAGTTCAAATCTCCAAGCGCTCTAAAAACCATGGGAGATGAGCAGTTCTAAACCTGTTTCTTTTGCACAGCTTCTGTCTTTTCTCTTCTGTTTGTTGGCCTAAAGTAGGATAAACCAGATTAAAGAGTTGATACAGTTCTGGCGAGCTGAGGCCTGACTCTACCAGGGTCAGGTAAAACTGTTATTAGCATCACTGGAAGTGGAATCAGGCCTGAGGACAGGAAATAACATAATTTAGACTTTTAGCATGCATTTCAGCGCCTTGCAGTTGAGGTGTATTTCAGAGGGTTTAATAGTTAGTGTGGGTCAAATATCCAAAACTGATGAAAGCAGCTGAATCATTCTTGAGAGTCAAAAAAGATTACTCTGAAAATACATACCTACTTCTTTTGAAATTATAGAAGTGCATAAACTTGTCTTGGGGTTAGGAGTGGCAGATTGAATTCTAGCTTTCTGTATAATTTAAAAGCCTGTCACAGTAGTTCCATTCCTTAGATAAATTTGTGCTTATTGACAAGCTATCTTCTTTTGATTATAAAAATTTAGTATCAGATTTTAACCATATGTAATATTACTTAATTTTTTTTCATGCACACTTGAAAGTAGGTGAAGTTAAATTCTCTTTAACTGCAATTTAAATAAAACATTTAATTTTGTTTAAAAAGAAGAACAATATTTACACGTGCTAAAGGGAAACAGCATGGATGTTTTGAGCTGTTTTAAATAAAGAAAGCATGGTTGCTTTATTAGTTCAGGGCAAATGGGAAGACTTGATGAAGCCCAGCAGAAATGCATTTCTTGCATTAGAATTACTATTAAGGTACTATGCTGACTGCACTGGAAGCTAATTCAATCTCTATAGCTTTTTAGCTGAAAATGGCGGAAAGGGTGCTAGTTGCTGTGGTTTTAAGTTTCAGTTCTGTGGACTCTTGCGTATCCACTTAATTTTAAGTAGATGAGTAATCTCAATTCATGTGTCCAGAAGCTTTGCCCTTTGAATTGACTTTGACTTTACAGTCCCCCTTCTTAAAGTTAAGAAGTTATGCAAGTCCTCAGAATTCAGCCCTTACTGGACAAAAGTAAAAAGTTTCCTGGCATTATCCAAAGCAATAGGATTATGATTATATAGTAACTATTTCTCCTTTCTCTCTTAGGGATTGAGAAATGACCTGAAGGCGGCTTTGGATAAGATTGATCAACAGTACCTGAATGAGATTGTAGGTGGTCAAGAAGCAGGAGAAGATGACTCACAGAATGATCTGAAAGTCCATGAAGAAAACACTACTATTGAAGAATTGGAGGTATATAATATGCCTCTAACTCTCTCTCTCTCAGGGTGTCCAGTGTCAAAACTTCATAGCTGGGTTTAGATAAGGTGTGTACTCGGGCCACCTCATCGAAGGATGGGCAGAAACAGGCTGCAAACACTAACAGTATGGTTAAGACTCTTTGCAACCAATTCATGCAGAAATCCGGTCGAGACAGAGATGATCTATTTCCTCATGTAGACTGAGTCTTTGTAAGAAGTATAAAAGTAGCATTTGTAGTGTGTACGTGTCAGCAGATTGCTGCAGTATTAGGGTGCGTCCAGACAAATGCAAATGCCTCTTGCAGCATCCCAAACCAGTTTGAGATGCTGTAAGAGGCACTTTGGGAACAAAAAAATGTTCCCCGTGCTGCATATTTGCAGCACAGGGTCAGCATTTGATACCTGGAGGTCTAGGTATCAAAATATACCCTGGGGGAAAAAAGCAGGGCAGGGCACGGTCCTGGATCATGCCCTGAGGCAACCAGAGGCTTGGGTCCTCCACAGAGATGCCCTGGTAGCCAGCTAGAGCATTTCTATAGATGGTCCTTGCCCTGGGGCTGAAGCACGCTGCCTGCCCATGCAGGGCAAACAGTGGTGCAGGCTGCAGCGACCTGTTCCCGGGCTCCGTTCCAGGTAAGGAGGGGTGGGGGGCTGGAGGAAGTGGGGGGACTGCAGGGGGTGCAGGGGACCATGGGGGGGGCAGCTCAGGATGGGTGGGTCCCCTGCCTGGCCCCAGCCCCCCTGCCTGCCTCCGTACCTGGCCCTGTGGGTAAGGAGTGAGAGGACTGGGATGGGGGGCAGGCTGTGGGTTGAGGGGCAGGGGCAGGGCACTGGCATATCAGTGCTGCTCAGCACTGCACATCCTGGTGAGTGAAGGGGGTAGGGTCAGCTCTGACTTTTCTATGACAAAAAAACCAAAAGTAAATGCCAAAGTGTATAGATATTTAGAATGTATTTTATTACGATGATAGAGGCACTGGTAGGCTTCCAAATTGCTTTAAACTCGTAAATGTATCAATAAAACATTGCCCAATGGATCTCTCTATATATAGTGGCATTTCATTTTAATAGCGGAAGAACGCTATTTTGGGTGTTTGAATGAGAGAATTTGGGTTTCTTATCAGAGAATTTGCAATTTTTAAACAGGGAACACCAGGATCTCTGCTGGTGAGACAAGTGGCGAGACCCGGACAGACGACCCTGTCCAGGGCCAGCACTGGGGACCCAGCTGGAGGGGCAGACGAGGTGGCTGACCTGTTGGCCATTTGGGGCCAAGAGGACACACTTGGACAATTCAAAGTGGGCCACCACAAGGAGCACATCTTCTGGGTGATAGCTGCCCAAATGGCAGAGCTGGGGGTCTGGCAGGGGTGCAGCCATGGGGCCACAGGTCCAAGGGGGTGGATGCTGTAGCAGGTGGCAGCAGGTCACGGCTAGGCAGCATCCCCCACTGCCAGACTGCTGCAGTGGGTAGAGGGGGCAGGGGTCATTCCATGTTAGGGCTGCTTCAGCAGTCCAGTTGGCACAAGGGGTAGTGTCCCTAGATACCAAGTGGCTAGGCCTCAAGCTCCTGAGGACAAGCAGCCCTGAGTTGCTCACCAGGCAGGCTTTTATACTGTTGGGGCTGGCACAGGGCAGGTTTTTAAAGTGCTGGGGCCAGCACAGGTGCTGGCCCCAGGCTCTAGCTCCCCCTGGCTGCAGATCCCGGGGGAGCTGAGCAGGGGCATT